AAATCACGCGGATGAACGCCTATAATTGGTTTTTACGACTTGGGCGCAGCCGGTCTACAAAGTCTACAAAGAACGAAGTGACAATTCAAATTATTCCAATAAATATATTATTCACAGAGGGATTTGTTTATTATTATTTGGGAGAATGCATAGAATGCATCACTTCTTTCTAAACATAAAAAAAATGTGGGTAAATATTTGTATAGTTTTGTATAGTTTTGTTAGTACTGTAGTACGGTAAGAATAATGAATTTTTAATTTCCCTCCATTTTTATGTTTCTCATCCATTTGTAAATTTGTGATCATAACCTAGTTGGAATATCGTAAATAGTTGCTGCGCCTCAAATTCGGGTGTTCGGGCATCTTCGGACTTCATGGCTGAAATTCTACTTAAATTTATCACATTTTCTGATGTTTTATTATCACGTTAGATTTATTACTTTATAATAAAAAGTACTATATATATATAATATATATATATATATATTAAATAAGGGTTTTTCTATATATCCATATTTGACCCTACTTTACGCCTGCATGAATGTGTTTTCTTGATTCATTGAAATTAATATTTTTGTCTAAGACTATTAAAGCTCGGAAGTATAATCATCAAATTTTTCCGATGAAAAAAATCCGATTTCTAGATCACACAAAGTGTCGGAAATTCTTAAGGAAAATACTGAAATATGTGATTACATCGAAAGTGTTTTTTATAAAACTACAAACGACAATCGTTCTTTTATTTTATTGTCGTTACCTCTTGTTTTGTGAGAATCAAATGACGAGCTGCAGGTGATACAAAATTTGGTCTCACATCAGCCATTTCATATGCTTTTTTTTGAATTGTGATATTATTGATTTTTTAATTTTTAATTTTTAAAATATTCTTAAAATTAAAAATATTCGTTCCGGATATAAATATGCTTTTATTGTGTCGGAGGATTATTGGTGATGCAATCAGAAAAGGGTAACCAGAAAAATGTAAAGAACTCAAAACCTACGGAATCCATTCCTAACGATGATTTTATCTCTAATATTAATAATAATGATGAATCTGATAATAATGATATTGTTGGTGGTAATTGTAAAATGGAATTTGAAATTGTTAAAGATGATGAAAATGTTGCTACTGTAACTTCTATACCTGAATCAATCGAAATAGATGAAAGTATACTCGTTGGTGTGTGTTTTTTTTAATCCTTTTCATTTTTTTTTTTTCTTAATCCTTTTTTTTTTTTTTAAATTTCCCTTCTATCTTTTACATTTGCTAATATTATTTTTTATAAATCGTAGTGGGTCATGATGTGGGTCATGATGTTGGTCATGATATTGGTCACGATGATACTGATGAGGTTCTTACATCGATGAATGACGGTGGAACTCTTGAAGACATATGGAATCACCATTTGTATTCTCTACGACAATATACTAGCGATCAGGATCCATGCCAAGTTGTTTCGTTACCTAATGTTTTCGATCATATTGATGCTCAAGCTATATTACATCCTAATCATCAACCTATAATGCAACTTAACTTGGATCAAATGATTGGTGTTTATAATATATCTCCTGAACCCTCAGAACCAAATTCTCCTAATATGGAGTGGTACGATAATAATATTTTACCGCCTGATACAATCACTCAACAAACTCAAAACTTGCAATTCCCAATGTCTAACTCTTTGAGCCCAGGAATACATGGTGCTGTTTACGT